GACGGGGAGCAGTGGCTATGCATAGCGTTCGTCGCCCGACGCCTCCTCCCGCCCTCCCCTTCCTCGTCCTCCTCCCCCCATACCCCTGCCCAACGACAAGTGCTGTCCAAAACCGACAGCGGCCGATGTTGGGCAGGCGGCTCTGCCTCAAGTGCACCATGCCCCTGGCGACACCGACAGCGAGCCCGTGCTCAGAACGAGCCAGAACTGCTATTGTACTTTGTATATTCCGTCGTCGTCTGCTCTCCTCCCCCATACGGCTCTTCTTCGGCTCTCCCTCCAGCTCCGAGCTCTGAGCTGCTGGCACTCGTGCCTCCCTGGCGCTGCCATTGCCCCCACCCGGCGGCACCGTCTGGCGCGCCAGGCGATCCTCCTCCTCCTCCTCCTCCTCCTCCTCCTCCTCCTCCTCCTCCTCCTCCTCCTCCTCCTGATTCTCCTCTGCATCCTCCTCCTGTTCACCCGCCTCCGCCTCCACTGCCCCCGCTGGGCCTCAGCCCTGAGGTCAAGGATGAGGCGCCTGGCCCCAGGATCACAGCCGGTGCCAAGGACTGGCACACGGTGGCTCAGCGGGTGGAGGCCATCGAAACGTCGTCGTCAGCGGAATCTCTCTCCCTGCGGTTCGGCGACGGAGTGGAGGAACGTCTGGGCGACTTTTAGGTGTTGCCCCTTCCAGGGAAAGGGGTCCGGAGGTGCCCCGCCGAGGGTGATGGGCCTATTTTCCACCACCACCACCACCACCACCACCACAAGTTGGAGGGGGGAAGGAGGTGGAGGACGAGGAGGAGGAGGACGAAGAAGAGAAGGAGAAGGAGGAGGATGTGGAGAAGGAGGAGGAGGAGAACCCCCTCCTCCCCCTCCAACTCATGGTGGTGGTGGGAAACAGGCCCATCAGAGGGACCCCAGCAGAGCTCGACGACCCGGGGTCTCGAAGAGAAAAGGGCGGCACTCTCGGGGCAAGCAGGGGAGGCGAGACAGTGATGAAGAGGCTCGCGCCGGCTGAGAGAGCTAAGTTCGCCAAATCTGACCGCAGCGATGGAGGAGAGGAGGAGGAGCAGGAGGAGGAGGAGGAGGAGGAGGAGGAGGAGGAGGAGGAGGAGGAGGAGGAGGAGCAGGAGAAGGAGCAGGAGGAGGAGGAGGAGGAGGAGGAGGAGGAGGAGGAGGAGAAGGAGGGGGAGGAGCAGGAGCAGGAGGAGGAGGAGGAGCAGGAGGGGGAGACGCAGGAGCAGGAGGAGGAGGAGGAGGAGGAGCAGGAGGAGGGGCACGGGGCCCCCCGCCGCTGCGAGTGGGAGGCCACGATGGCCATTGGAGCTGTCGAAGTTGTTCCGCTGGGCCAGGCTAGGGAGATTAGGAAACACCAGCCTGAGCGAATTGGCTCCAGCCGTCTGGCTCGTCGGTGGAAGCCGGGGTTGAGGGTACTTTCGCGGAGCCGGTCGCGCAGTCTAGGTGGCGTGTCCACGGCCACCGCGATCCCGACTCCAGGTCCCTGGAGGTCCACGTGCCTACCCCCCGAAGGTCTTCTCATGAGGTTCATCCAAGTCATGATGAACTGGGGTCTCGTGGGCGACACCGCAGATGTCAACAACGCTTTCTGCCAGTCTGATAGCATTCAGAGGTCCCAGTGCAAGATGAACGTAGTCCTGCGAAGGCATCGAGCTGGAGCCCGGGTCCCTGATTAGGCTGTTGGTGAACGTGATGGCCTGGACGACGCGCACATGGCGTGGAGACGCACTGTGGTCAAATTTCTAGAGCGTCACGGATTCTCCCGGAGACTGCTGGAACCCTGTTCGTGGATCAGGTATGAGAAAGGCCGATCTGCCAAAACGATGTTCCTAGAGGTTGACGACTTTATGATAGCTAGTGACAGTTCAACTGCGAGCGTGGAGCCGAGGTACCCTGGAGTTTCGTCTCAAGTTTGGTAAGTACCTTGACAGCCTGGCAGGTCCTGACAAGCTTGCTGGTAGAAGCATCACTATGACGGCTTAGACGACAGCCATCGACCAAGAGAAATACCTTAAGATTCGGCCTCTGATGATAGTCATAGGCCGCCTCTCCAGGAAAGACAGCCCGCTAGATGGATCCGAGCTTCAAGCCCTCCAGTCGCTGCTATACAGATTCAACTGGGTCGGACGCGAGCCCAGGCCCGAGGCTGCCGGAGTGGCGAGCATTCTCGCCAGCAAGCTGCGAGCTGCGACCACTGGGTACGCAATCAGCGCCGACAAGCTAGTAAGGCATCTGCTGACCACCTACCAGACCACCCCAACCCAACTCGAAGACCCGAATTTCGGGTTGGGGGGGTACGGGTTCTCTCTGTGTTTTGTCAATGTTCCCGGACACCCCCCCACTGGAAATGGAGAGCAAATCGGGGCCTTCGGGTTGGGTTGGGGTGGTTTGGTGGGCGGTGATCTGCGAGCTACGGCATCCAGGGGACTGACCGTTTGGCGACTGGACTCAGAGCGCATGCCGTTTATCGCTTCCTCCGATGCGGGAGGGGCAGGATCCACGGACGGCTTGACTGAAGGGAAGGGTCTCCCTCCAGACCCGACTCAAAG